ATCCTCAGAGGCCATTCGTTGTGACCACTGATGCAAGCCAATATGGCATTGGCATAGTGCTGGCCCAACAAGAAGGGAAAAAGTTGAGGTCGATCGAGTACATGAGCAAGAAGATGCCATCCACCTACGAAACGAAACTCTACGCCCTCTACCAAGCCCTTGTCCACTGGAGACACTATCTGTTGGGAAGGTTCTTCAACTTGAGAATTGACCATCAGACACTCAAGTAGATCAAGACACAACCCATCCTCTTCGACACACTCAAACACTGGATTGAAGTCATTGATCAGTATGACTTCAAACTAGACTATGTGAAGGGAGAGTGCAACAAGGTTGCTGATGCGCTATCGCGTAGGACAGACTACCTTGGTGCGCTAATAATTGATTTTGGCTTATCTGAGAATGTAACTCGGTCAATGGTGGCAGCCTACAAGGAAGACCCCGTCACGATGGACATCATGCGCAAACTTGAGGCTCAAGACAAGGCCACGTCATATGCGTTTGTGATGGTGGATGAAAAGGTAGGATTCAAAAGATTAGTTGTTCCATCTAGTGAGATTTTGCGTAGTTTGTTTCTAGGTGAATGTCATGATGTGACTGCACATTTCGGATACAAGAAGACTAGTCCTAACTTAGTACAACGTTTCTGGTGGCCTAGTATGCTTGACGATGCAAAGAAGTACGTATAGACTTGTCAAGTCTGTCAGCGAGACAAGCCGCGTACTCAAGCACCGCTTGGGTTACTCAAGCCCTTGCCCATTCCTGCAGATCTGAGAAAAGTATCTCCATGGATTTCATGGAGACCCTCGTGACCAGCAAGAGTGGCAAGAGGCACATCTTCATCATAGTGGACAGGTTCACTAAGTATGCTAAACTAATAGCCATGTCGGAGACAGCAAGGACTGAACATGGCATCAAGTTCTTCATGGATAACTGGGTGCGTGATTTTGGACTACCTAAGACTATCGCTAGTGACCGAGATGTCCGTTTCACAAGCGAAATGTGGAAGAAGGCTGCTGAAGAGATGGGAAGGCAACTCTAGATGACCTCCGGGAATCATCCTAAGGCAAATGGTCAAGCGGAACAGATGAACCGTGTGGTGCAGCATCTGCTGAGGCATTACATCAAGCCCAGCCAAGATGGCTGGGATGAGAAACTTCCTCTCATTGTCCATATGTACAATAACGCTGTACACAGCACCACCGGCGCCAGTCCCAACCAGCTGCATTTGGGATGGAAGCCTAGATCTGCTCCGGACTTCCTCCTACCTGAAAACCGATCGACTGCAATTCCTGGAACCATTGAATTTGGTGTCCAGTAAGAGAAATTGCTGCAGCCGGCTGTCGAGCACATCAGGAAATCTCAAGAGGCAATGGTTGCCTCTGATAATAAGCATAGACGACAGTCCACATTTCAGGTAGGGAATGCGTCTGGGTAAAGGCTAGTGAACTGGGACAGGAATTTGGCATCTCTAGAAAACTAATGCCACAGTACTTTGGTCCTTGGGAAGTTCTAGATATCGTGGGTAGTGATCTGGATGGTCCCTCGTACATCATAAGAATCCCTCGTCATCTGCGCACTTACCCTGTACTTCATGCTTCCAAGCTTGCACCTTTCGCTGAGACAGAACAATTCCAATTAAGAAGGTCAATGCTGACCCCGTCCATGGATGGCCACGTGGACGTCGACGACATCTTCGAACATCGAGACTTGCCTGTTCCCAAGCCTGCTGGCAGAGGAAGGCTGCTCAAACCTATGAGGGAATACCGGGTCAGGTTCAGGCATCGTACAGATCCAAAAGAAGATCGTTGGTTCACAAGACAGGAGCTTGTCAGGACAGTACCTCAGATCGTGGCTGAGTATGAACGAAGACCGAAGGGGAAGGCACCTGCGTAGAAGCATCTCAGCAGACTTTCGAAGCTAAGGTGGATGGAATGCCAGGAATGAGCCTCACAGAGCCCTTATCAGACATACGAGTGTTCTGGGCTGTGGCCCCCAGCAAGCCTTGTGCCCACCCTAAGTGAAGGCGGGCCTGAATATCCACGTGAGGCCTGTTCTCAACAATTTTTCCATACGTGGGTCCTCAGACAGTTGCAGCACACCAGTTGGTTACAGCACAACATGAGCCTCCAGGCTCTTTTCAAAAACAAAGGGGCTGCGCTGTAGAGTTGAGCCCAGGGCTCAGGCTGTTGCGCCCTGGGCACACACTGTGTGAGGCCGACACATCACGGACTGGTTACAGGCCAATGAGGAAGCAGCATTGGCGTCACACATGTGTCGCGAGCCAATGAGAATGCTGCAAACACTTCGAGGCTGGGCGGCTGCCTGAACGTGCCTAACTGCACGAGACCCAGACCAGTTTCGGAAACTGGGCCTGGGCGCAGACACTTGGAGCCCAACTGAAGCTACTGGACCCCCACAGGCCTGGCCAGGACAGCCAGCAGCGACGCACTTTCCATAAAGGAAAGTGTGAGCCCCTGGCAGTGGCATTCTGGCCTAGGAAGGCAATGCGGACACGCTGCTGTGTTGCGACGCTAGTGTCTGCATGGGCGCTGCTGGTTGGAGGCGCGCAGGGCGCAGTGGTGAGAGGGGCGCTAGTGAGGCAGCGGGCGCACAGCAGCCATAGCCGGGCAGCGGGGATGCAGGGCAGGTGATGACGAAGGTGGTCTTCGGGTAGGAGGCGCATGCTGTGGGAAGACGAGGGGTGATGAGGGGAGGAGAGAGAACTTACCTGGTGTATGCTGGTTGTGGGCATTGGTGTTGACGCCACGTACCTTGGTCTTCAACTTCAGAGTGATCCAGTTGCAAGAACGTAGATAGGCTAGATAGCCTGAGTAGGATAGGCTGGGCGCTGGGTGCCAGACATTAAGTGCGACATTGGATACAGTGTTGGTGTGACCAGAGAGTGGGGACATTGACATTTGAGTTCATTGTATTGCTCTTATTTGGACGGTATCTTGATGCATTGCACTCTCTGCTTGGTTCATGACTATCCGAGCTTCTTCGTGATTTTGCAACTTGGATTTCTGTCTATTGCTCTCGCTCATATTCCTTGCAGAGGCTTGTGTGAGAGAAGAGTAGGAACAGAGAATATAAGTGCGTGAGAGAGACTTACTGGTGTGTCGCATTGATCGGTCATAGCCACTAGATTGAAGAAGACAATTCTGTTACTTGCTTGGATTTGCCGGGACTATTCTTGAATTCAAATCTCATGTGTGTTTGACATGTGCTTGGACATGTGTGAGAATCGTGTGAAAGTGTGCATATCCATAAGACCGACATAGATCCAGTCTCCAATTGATGATTGCTTACATCGCCTTGCACTGGTTTCAGGAGAGAAGGAAACACTCTGAACCTAACAGTACGAGCAAGTGTGCCACGTGCACAACCAACACACTGCAGGACATTGTCCACAGCCTGATATCTTGCCCTGAGGCGATCTGGTTATGGGAGATAATCAAGGAACTCTGGCCATCCCTTTTTTCTTCCCCCCCTCCTAACACACGCCTCTCCACCACCCTCCTATCCATCAACTTCCCAACATCCATGTGGGGCAGCAAGAGGAATTGGTCCCCTCTACTCAGGAAAACCACTTTTCTGGATCATATGGAAGCACAGATGTGCCTAAACCATCAAAACAGAGATTGAACAACAAGAGAGGACTCCTGGGCCAGCTGGCGGTCATGGTGGAGACAGAAATTCGGTGCAAATGGTACTCGATCAAGTACGCGGCCAAGAACAGAGCCGATAAACTCATTGAGGGGAAAAGAGTATTCTTTAGAGGCTGGCTGCTACGAGGCAAGATCACTACTCTTGAGAACAATTTACGCTGGTGGAAGGCATGGGACCCAGGCTAAACACAGGAACAGGAACCACAACAAGGAAGACAGGAACCAAGTTGTCACACTCGGTACCCAATTTGCTGTGTTGTTTCTGGCATTCCTCTTCAACGTTCTGGAAATACTCGCATTTCGGGTGGCGGAGTGCGGAAGTGGTCAGGAAGGGAAGGATGACAGTGTGGACTGGTGGGTCTTACCTGGTGTTGGTGGAGGAAGCCTGCGTGAGCAGTCTTCAAGCAGTACCCGGCGAATGACACCTGGACAGCGAATGAGAGTGTAGTAGGCGGGCTTGAGTAGAGGTAAGAGGAAGTAGAATAAGGCGATCATGTAGCATAGCGCTACTGTATTGTTGTTTTATTCATTATTGGAGGCGAATAAGTGGCGCTTTCTTTATCCAGAGATTTCAGTGTGCTGTTTGCTCCTAATTGGTGTCCTATCGGCTTTGGTATTCTGCTTTCAACTCGGCTCAAGCATGCTTGTTCTTCTATGACCTTTTGCCTATTGGAAAATGTATTTTTTTTCCCTCTTCCTCTTCTTCTTGGAAGGAATCAATCATTTCATTATCAAATGGAGTAGGAGGCCGGGAATCCTCACAAACATGTGTTCTCATCGTATGGTGCATTGCATTCTGCTCATTGCCTGATATACACTGCATTCGACACCTGTTTTTCGAACTCATGCCTTACATGACAAGCACCCATTATAACACTTATCACTGTGATTGTTACCATTAGTGCTGTTTAGCGGTCTTGGATGCAAGCTGACACAGAAATCTGTTTACAACTTCCATTGGTGGACACCCCAACCCTTGGAATCTCAAGGAAACCCAACCTTCCACCAATATGGGGTAAGACTATGGTCCATGAACTCCTTCCTGAACGAGCCTCTGCAGCTGCCAAGCAGTGAAGTCGGAACCTCGACCTTCCGCCACTACTGATGGGGTAAGGCTATAGTCCATGGACTCCTTCCTGAAGAGCCTCTGCAGGTACAATGCATTCAAGTTCATCAGCGCAGCTTCCAAGCACTGAACTTCATTAATGCCGCTGCCAAGAAGTGTTTCAATTTGGATGAAACTCAAGATCGTCTGTCTGAATGAAGGGGGATGCGTTTGATAGGGAGCTGACAACATGAGTAGAAAGAGTATGTGAGGAGGGTACGAACCTCATGAAGAGCAGGTGCATCATTTGTGCCATCCCCAGTAACAGCAACAACGTCGCCATTTTCCCTAAGTGCTCTTACCAGATCGAGTTTGTCAGTTGGTGAAGATCGGGCCATCACCTGCACAAAAGAAACCGCAGACCAGTTAGGGTTACGAACAGCTCTCTGCATGTGGCTTCCTGTGGTACCCATCACCTGCACAAAAGAAACCGCACACCAGTTAGGGTTACGAACAGCTCTCTGCATGTGGCTTCCTGTGGTACAAGCCAAACGCTCCACATCGGGAAAAGAATGGCCTTCACTCAGCATGACCTGAGAGCTCACCACAATATTTCTTGCAGCTCTACGCTTTTCCAGAGGGGACAGCCTTCGGAAACTGGCGCCTTCGATGATTTTTTCGATTGCTTCACCATCGTCGAGGATCCCACATTCCATTGCAATTGTCTTGGCTGTAATCAGGTTATCTCCTGTGACCATTCGGACCTGCATTCAGACAATGAAATGGTCCCCCTCTTCTGTAAGAACAATATACATTTAATGTGGCTCAACAGATTAGCAACACTCGCTCATACACAAATATACTCCAGTCATAAAACTCACAACACAATTGTAGTTGAAATTGACATCATGTGCTAGACGAGTTCATAGTATTTCATACATGGGTCCCCTTTTTCTCCATTTTTGCCACCTCTGCAGTTTCCCCTCGTCATGCACAAATGCACTTATTGGAAAGGCTCCTCAGCACCTGAAGTTGCCAAGCCAATGCTCTTTGTCTCTCCCCAACCCTCGTCCTCCTTTCTACCAATCCCCCCTGTTTCTGACTGTCTGGCCCTCCCTTTTTTGACTTGGCCCTGCCTGCTGGTTCTTCCATGTGAGGCCTTCTCGTCCATCTCAGCACAGTCACAAAATGTCATCATCCAGCGTAGCCAGAGAACTGTTTGAATAGGCTCCAACACTATCAACCCCTAGCAGGCTGAATGACATTGTCTGTACGTCATGTGCGAGTGCAAGCATCCTGACCTGACACCCTAAGAGAGCAGTTGGTCAGGAAGCGAGGGAAAGAAGTCACCCAACACTTATTTGCTGTCCGTTCCTTTTGCAGTTGGCCGGTCAACTTTGTCTCTCAGCCTGCTGTTTTGGTTGTCAAGCTATCAGAAGCACAACTTGCGAGCAGTGTAACTGATGTGAGTTCTTTGGGGCACCATGATGTTCACTTTAATTCGCAAGTCCATGTTCTATCCAAAAACGCCACACAGACAGAGTAATAACCAGAGTGCAAGGTACCCCATGTCTGTGTGGTGCATGGTTAGAATGTGAATTAGCACCAAGGATGAACGAACAGCACTTTCTCAATCACCAGTTTTGCATCAACATGAACTGGAAGACAAAACAAGTCAATAGCCATTGCCAGATATGTGAAGGCCTCTACACCTTAACTGCAACATTCCTTATGGCCCTGGCTCCATTTCCATTCCCGGGAGCATCAGTCCGGTTCCTATTCCACCGGCAAGTCAGAATAAAATATTACATCGTGAAACACACTCACACTTCCTTCCATCCGGCCTAAGGAACCCTGACCAGCATTGATTACTCCAGCATAGTGGAGGATTGCCTGTCAGCTGCCTTACTTCCACCTTTCCTCTCAGGTCCACTGCATGAACCTGTCAGATAAATGATAAAGAGCAAGACAGGTAAAAGAAGCTACGGAGGACGCAATCTCGGAATTTGGCAATTTGCCCTGCAATATAACATGGCCTGTGATAGATCTTGTTCATCTGCTGGCTGGGATCTCTGCCTTCCCCACCCTGCTTCTGAGTTGTGCCAGTCTTTCCACCGTTTGCGGAAGTCATTTATCTCTGCTACTTTGCCCCCTGCCAGCCACACCTTTGTGAATTTTGCCTTGATTCTTCTCTGTTGCTCTTCGTCATCTGGCATGGAGTGTCTTGTCTTATGCCACTTACAAAGAATCTCTGCCCGAATCAAGGTCCTTGTCTCCGCCCATACCTTCTCCCTTGGAGTCTAGAGTCCCTAAATGGTTCAGCAGCACCTTTCCTTCCAGATGGACCACAGTTTAACCTGTCTGATCATTCTGAACCACGTTTTCTCTGTCTTGTGGAATTGAGCTGGGATGCTAGTCCATAGAAGGAGTTGGATGGGGTGTTCAGGGAGGAAAGTCGAAAAGAGTGAGTCCCAGAGATCCGAGGCCCTCGCCCAATATTCCATCGCCTCTCTACAGCGTATCAGGCAATGTAGCATATATCCTTGTTCATTTTCTGAACATACTGCACACAAATCTGAACTGTTAGGGTCATTCTTGCTTCTTCTGATATGCAGCCACTGTTTAACCGGTAGAGCCACGTATGAGATGAGCCATTGG